ACTCGACGGCACTTAACAACAACATGTTATTTTAACTACATAAATTCTACCCATTTCTTTTTATCTTTTTATGTGGCTCCTGCAACACGTCCAATCACATGGTGGCTCACATTCTGGCTTAACTTCTATTGTTTCTATTGGATAGTGCTGGTGGCTACATTTCAACCTGGACATGCCCCGCTACTTTTCAAAAATGGAGACACTGATTCACATTTCATAAAACTCACCCTCTGAACAATCCAGCTCAGTGATTTTTAGTACATTCACAAAGCTGTGCAACCGTCACTACTATCTAATTCCAGAATGTTCTCATCACCCCAAAAAGAAGCGGGGTACATGAGCAGTCCCTTCCCATTTGTCTACGCTATTGCGCGTAAACACAAGCAAACTGCTCAACAGTGTTACAGCACCAAGTGGAGTTTTGCAAAAAAGCCAAAAATTTATGGATCTACATACCTATGTTTGTAAATGCATTTTCTACACGTTTGAACAGTGTCCGCCAAACTTTTACTGATGTTTTTTTCAGAACAAGCACTGGTTGGGGGAGACCGGGGAGGAGGGTTTACCTTTTATTTTGATATTTCTCGACTGTCTGGGGGAAAACCTAACGGGCGTGCACTGCTCTGGTGATTCCTAAGGGGGCATGGGTGGAACTTGTGGCCCTAAATAACACCTGGTGGACTTACTGGTGAATGAGTAACTTGTTCACGGCACTGGCAACGGACGGGTTTCAGCTGAAGATAAACAGCCTCCGGAACGTTAGGCTTTGAAAGTGACAAGCACAGGCAACAGCGCGCGGACGGAGGCCTCGGGGCTGCCTGCAGCAGAACGAGCCTGCCCGCTCCTCCCCGGCACCTGACGCAGCGCTGGGAGGGCAAGGGCCGCGTGCCCCGGCAGGGCCCGGCCGGCCAAGGGCAGCAGCTCCGAGTGCATCCTGTCTGGCGCTCCGGAGGCCCGGAGGAGGTCGGGGGGCCCCAGGATAGAGATGGGACGCGAGCCTGGGTCCCTGGGCCGCTCCAGGCTGGAGGAGGAGGCAGGCGCGAGCGCCCCGCATCTCCCGGTGGCACCAGGCAGCTGCCTTCCGGAAAAGAAGGGACCCCGGTCCCCCACTCCGGGCCTGGAGCCCCAGCGCACAGGATGCTACCGGGAAGCCGAGGACGCCCGCGTCCGGAGCGGACGTGGCTAAGTTCGGGCGCGCCCGGGACCCCTCCACCTCGGAACTCCCGGTCCTCCACCTCCACGCCCGACCCCTACCTCAGCCCCTGGCTCGGGCGTCAGGAAGAGCGCAAGCTCGCGCGTCCCGCTGCGCACCGGCTCCGGCCGGTCGGCGTCCACCAGCAGCATCAGGAGGGCCGCGGGGTCTGGCCGGGGGAGGCTGGCCTGGAGCGCGTCGCAGCCGCCGGGCCTCTGAGCCCCGCCCCCGGCCCGCTGCTC